CGTTAAACTATTCCATAAAAAAACATTGAAATTAAATTTTAATGTTTTTTTTATGGAATTACTGATAATTGTTTTACTATATTAGGTCTGTTGCACTTTAAAAGCTTAAGAAGCATAAGTATATTTAATAGTACAGAAATTTTTGTCAATACTGTAATTCAATAAACTATTAATAGACTTTCACAGGTTATTGCAATATATTAGAACCGTTGCCAGAATATTCATCAAATCGTCCCCCAATTGGAATAAAAAGTAAAGATGAGAATTTACCAATAAAGATGTTAACAAATAATGACAATATTTATTTACCATTATTAGGCAATATGTAAAACCATTGCCTAATAATGCAATAACCACATGCTTACATTGTATTGAACTTTGAGTGCGATGGAAATTGTTTCATTTTTAAAAATCGGGGAAAGAAATCAATGTTAATTGTGAAATCTTTTCAAAATATTGTGCTATTGTGGAATTTCATTGAAAATATATTCTTTAAACTTTGATAATCAACTACATGGTTTGAAATAATAGTTTATGATGAAGTTTACGAAGGTACTTCCACGATTATTGTATTTCATTTGACCCTGTGACATTTAAGAATTGGGCGATACCTATCTGGGTTATTTAAATTGAAATGCACTTAAGGCACGGTGTTTAACTTTTAACGGACACACCCACAAGGATTCTCTATAGTTTTGGTAAGTTTACTCTGTTGTTTACCCACTCAGGGTTACATACGGTTTTCTTGCAAGTCATTGATGCATTCAGAGGGTTTCCTATGCATTCACAATCGTCGAAACTACGGCTGACTGGGTATTTTGTCCTCGGGTTGTGGGCGACGTTTCTTCTTATGAATGGAACTCAACTAGCAAGACGTTAAATGTAGTTGGGAGTTTGTTCATGTATTCAAGCTAAAGGGACGCTTATTACTTCTGTATCGCTACCATTTGCTTTGTATACTCAATTTACAGCATTCCACTAACTTATCCACTGTAAACAGCTCTTAAGTTTTATTGTCAAAATATCACATGATCCTAAGATCCAACAAGAGAATTTTTTAAATGATTTGGTTGATGCTAGTATAATACTAGAGATTTATTGCAAGAATGCAGACTTGATATTATGATGTTTAACTGACCATAATCCAAGTGTTAACAATATCTTTGTTTCTGTAATAATACAAGAAATATGCCAACATTTAGTGCTTCCTAAAATAAATAACAAGTGATATGAGATAAAATTTGCCTCAATGAAATTTTAACTGAACATATTCCTGCTGTTATTAGTAATAATAAAGAGGAGTAGAATTGAACATCTGTTTTTTTTTTTAATAATTTCATTCAATACTCTCATACAGTAGTAGTATCGTAACATGTGACAGGAAGCAAATGGCGGCCCTGTCTGGATTCACAGGAAATCTGAAGTCTACTTCAGGAAGACAAGTTTTATTTGAAATCTGTGATTACATTACAATACTAGTATTAATCCCAAGTGAAGGCTTAATTTGGCAGGAATTCTCCAAGGAACATAATCGGCCATCTTCAAATTTTTGTTTACATTTTGAATGTTGAACATATGTTGGCAAAAACACAGGAACTACTTTTTATGTAGGCCTAGACAGTTTATGAATTTAGAATGTAGGTTGCTTCATATTGAACCATACACATGTTTGATTTTAGAATGTGGCTATGCTTTACACCGAAGTGATCAAAATCCCAATGGACTGTATAACTGGGTATAGTAATCACAGTAAGAATCTCGATTCAGGGTCAAATCAAGTCTGATTTGACCAATTAGATGGCGTGTGTGCAACCTTATTGCTTAAGTTCTACTATAAATATATGTGAATAGTCTATACTAATGTAAACAATAGTTTGCACTGGGTTTCACAATAAAGTAAGATGGTTGAGGTAATCCCTTATCTTGTCAATGCTCTCTCCAGGTAGGGTCTATTGTCCAACCAAAACCATTATTGTTTTGATTTTGAGACCAGCAAAACCATTGATACCACAGTTCCATCCTTTTGTGATTTCTGGATGAGGTAGAGAATAAAAAAATTGTTGATCAAAAGAAGTGTTGATAATTGCTAGATTTTCATTTATACTTACCATAGTATCAGTATCAACTGATTTACAAATATTTTCATCAAATGCTCATCTAGTCTGTCTAACTTGGATCTTCCTCTAACTTGAGCTTAAAACTCCACCCTCTAACACACTCTCACTATGATCTGGTGATGTAAATGAAGAGCTATACCAAAAACATTTTATGCTGTTATATTATACTTTGGAACTCTCACTCTTTAATGTTTAATATCCCTCTTGAGTTACTTTTAGCCATGCTTTAGGTGAGTCCTCATTAAGCATAAATAAAATATAGAGACAGCACTTACAGACTAAACAAA